GGAGAGGCTTTGAGAGTGATACTGCATACACAGCACTCACTAGGACAGTATTAGCAGGAAACTCGAACTCTCCTCCTACAAGAGCAACCACTGCTGCTTCTACTGTCTCAGAGCACAATAGGCTTCCTTCTTGTACTCCAATCCTTACACCATATTTCTCCCAATTCATCAGTTGAGGTTTGTCTCCTTGAATTAAGAACAGCTTCTTCTCTGCTACCTGGACATCACTCAGACAATCTAAATTATCTATCAATTGTATAAAATACGGTCACTCGCTGACAGTCAGTCAGTCACACGATAATACTCTTACCCATTGAAGGGATCAGGTAGTTAAATTGTAATCCAATGGTACTAGTCTCTTTGACTTGACTCCATTGCTCCCTCTCCTTCATTAGTTTGGCAGTATGCAATTCATTATCTGCAACTTTAGTTTTCAGTTCTAAATATTCTCTCATATAATATACACATTGATGACAATACTCTAACCTTTAGTGATCTGTTTTTCCTTGAGATATTGTTTCTCCACTTTTTCCTTCTCCTCATCTAATTGAGTTATATATACTTCATTAATAACAACTTTAGTTTTAAGTTCTAAAACATATTCTCTCTTGAGTACACTTTGATGACAATAATACTCTAACCTTTAGTGATCTGTTTGTCAATGAGGTATTGTTCCTCTAATTGTCTTTTCTCTTCCTCTGCGTGCTTCTTTTCTTTCTTTGCTCGTTTATTCTCATCTTCTACTTTTCTCATTTCTTCCTCTACTTGTTTCTTCTCTTCTTCTATTTCAATTATATATACTTCATTATAAGCAACTGTAGCTCTAAGTTTCTCATTATCTTCTACATTAAGAGAATCATCTAATATTATGTACTGACAATAAACTAACCAGTAATAATCTGTTTTTCTTGTAAAACCTCTTCCAATTTCTCATTCACAATAACTAGTTCATTGCCATCAACTTTAGAGCCTAAAAATCATATACATGCTTAGTCATAAAGTCTTGTTGCAAAATTTATCCTATTAAAAATACATTTAATGTAAAAGTACTTTGTTTATTGGCCTCAGTCAGTGCCTCCTGTAGTGATACTTTGTTCTGATGGGCCACTTGTAGTTCTTGATGTAAAGACTGGATGTATCTCTGAAGCTTCATTTCCTTCTCTGTGAAACATTCTATTAGCTGATCCATCCACCATGTTTTGATCTTGCTGTATGATGAATACTTTTCTTGATATTTCTTACTAGTGAGATCATTACCATCCAGTACTGACTGTACTATCCACTCACCAGCTTCACTATATACTGAAATAAGGAATTAATAAATAAATCAAGTGCATGTAGGTATGATAATAATGAACTGGTAATAATCCTGATTATAATTTTTAATAATTATTATTAATTTACCTAATTCAATTATCATTACTAGTCTGTTAGTATCAGTGATATATGTATGTGTCGGCTGCTTCATTCCTCCTCCAACATCTTTCCATTCAAACTCTTCATATCCTCCAACAATTACTAGCCACACACAGTGAGGTGA